CTTTTCGTTGTACCGACGTTCTCTATGTTATATTATCCCCTCTACTAGTCTATACGGACGCGAGTGAGAGGTCAGATGAGCTGCGCAAATGAATTTAGCGCATGCTAAAGCGCATGCGTAAAGCGGGAAATACTAGAGATTTTAAATTCAATGTTGACTATTCTTATTTATGTTCCAATAGTTCACTTGACTTCATTATTTGAACGATCTTTCAATGCTTTATTAACTTACGTTGAAAACCGTTTCTAATACTTACATTTTCATTTTATTTTATTACTTCAATTAAAGATTCAGAGAATTCAGTGCTTAGAATCAGGCGAACATATTTTATTTTATATTCTACTCAGTATAACATAATCACTAAAAAAACGCGCATAATTGATCGTTTTGTTTTATCAAATGATAAATATACATTGAAGTGTGCTATTTAAAACTGTGGGCACGGCAATTGGGAACACACACAAGATAACATTTAAATTAAGATTCGATTAGAAACAGTGCCATACGTGCGAGGCATACCGTGATAAGATCGTATACAAACGACAATTTTAGCACATAAAGGAGCGTAATTTAGGAGTACTCTCCACTTTCTGGATAAATGTCAATCATTTCCTATCATTGATAATATCCACTCTGCTGGGCTAACTCATGCACCGACATATTGTCTTCGAAAACTTCCATAGAGAATAATTAAAAAGAAAAAAAAAAGTTGAACGAAACAATAAAAAATCAAAATATATAATGACGTGAAGGTGATTCATTGTACTATGAATCATTTATAGAAGCACCCGTGAGACAAATTTTCATTACAATGCTAAACGTGCATCGGATTTCATTACCGAAAGCTTATGGTATTATTGGAAAAAAATTACTGTATTGAGGATAGACAGTCATATATTAATATTAGCTTCAGTATTAACACGGAAAAGTGAAAAATTATATTACCTAGGAGTTTGCATTCGAAATGAAAAGTTAGAAATCATACTGTATGAAATAATCCGGTAAAAAGATAATTTTTTATATACATGAACTTTTCAACTACTCACTACGGAGCAAACTCGAAATGAGCAGCCACAAAACATTGTAAATTATTCCAACAACGATTTATTATAGCAGTAAGTCGTATTTGATTTTACTCTTGACAGCTGTTTTTCAATACTCATACAAGCAAATCCAGTCTCCGCAGTTTTTATCATTATACCATTTTATACCATTTTTTTGCATCAACAACTCGATACTAAATATCTAAACATATCAAGCTACTCAAGGCCCTTCTTATGGCTTACTGGCAGTTTTATCAGCTCTTGTTTCCTGTTTCTCGTAGTACCGATCAATCTCTTTTTTTATTTTATTGTATTCACTGTCATTTATAGTAGCAAGCTGAACATTTAAAACACTTCGTTTTTTTATCTTGAAATGCTGGTGAGTTTATTTTTATGTCAATGATCTTGATAATACGTATCGCAATGTATATTGAATATGAATGTTTTTTATCTAAGTAGATTCACTGTAGTTGATACTTCTAAACGCGATGATAGTTTTAAGTTTGATTTTTTTCCATCTTATAATAACTTTTTTCGGACAATGAGTAGAGAAGACGAGCTACGATACATTCATTCAGAGAAACTGACCAACAAGCGCTTTTTTTAATATGCAGTAGTTTTGTATAAGAAAAAATGAAAGAGGAGCCGTCTTGAAAATTTTGTTTCTTAATGCTGTGTATTATTATTATAGTCAATTGATCTGTCTCACTTATACATTTTTTCTTACCGTTAGAAGCATAATATAATATTTATAAACTATACGTAAAAGAAAAAGTAAAAGTGAAGGGAAAGCACAGCGATAATCATTGATATTATAAATTTATATTTAATTTAAGCGATGCAATCTTTTTTAGACTTAAATAAAATGTCTTATATGTAATATAGATTCGCGCGATTAAAGCAGATTAAAAGTCATTCAAAATAAAGGTTATATATAATAACATGTGTATGCTGCCTTTGTTGTCTCTCTTCAAAAAGATTCTTGTGCAATAGAGATTCACATATATTTTATGTACAATTCTCTCGTAGTACAAGATCTATTTTTTTCTTTTTCTTTACTTTCTTCTTAGATTTTTTCTCTCAACAACAATATCTGACTTTTCAGGTAAAACGATGCTCAATGCTTCATAGCGATATGACATTTATCGTATAATCATCAAGAAAATAAAGGCATTATACTTCAATCTTTTTTAATAGACGTAAAGTTGACCTCATAATATTGCAGCTAGAGTACTTTTTTAAGAATTTTCAAAAGTATAATTCTTTAGAAAACAATTTTTTTGTTTACCGCAAGGATACAGATTCGCAATTATAAAAAGGACAAAACAGTAATCAAATATACTACACGATTCGATCGCACAATTCACATTACTTATATAAGTATACAAAGCTTTTGCGTGTCTTCAAAAGCCTCAAAGAATTAAATATATTCATGTATATGCATTTTGTCTTAATTTTTTGTCTTTTATGCTAATATGGGAGAACATTTTTAACTTTTTTTCGTTACAGATAATATTTTTTTTACGAAGTGATTAAACAATTTTTGACGCTCTTTCTCTCTTCTTCTGTTGACAATGTTTGACTTTAACAATCGTTATACACTATATCTCATACATTATCCCAAGTTAGCGCAGCTAAGCTCTTAATAAAAATACATATGGCAATTAAAGGGGGAAGTCGCCGACGTTAAAATAAAAACAACACATTGGATTGAAGGGCAGTGCACATAAAATTCACATATTTTAGATAATGCCGGACACAGAAGAGATTGTTTTTTCATGATTCTTATGTTGTCTTTACACAACGCATACAAACTCGTGACTACGAACAGAGTATTGCTGTCTCAGATATATCTGTTTTTTATCGTTTTCGTATAAAAAGAACGTGGACAGCTGAGTATAGTTTCGTAAGTAAAATAAAAGTTCTAGCGAATAAACTTTCACGAGTTCAAGCAAATAACATACGTAAAAAGTTTTCTGAAACTTAGTTCTGCTCGATTATGAGAAAATGTTCGCCGAGAAGTACAAAAAGGACAATACATTTTTGTTTTTCAATTGATCGTTCATACAATAAAAAACTGTCCTAAAATTAACCAAAAAGTGAATTGGCAATCTCCTCTTAAAAGCTGCGTCTGATAAATAATACACCATATAACACAATAATAATATAATTCAGACAAACAGGCAAAAAAAAGAAAATAACAGACACAGTCCTTATTACATCTTGATACACGTTTGTAGAACGTTTGGTGTGTAAAATTCATGCATCGACGATCGAACTTCCACACAGTGTGAATATATGCATGCTCATATTACAATATATGTATGTAGATGATGCCGAATGGATAAATTTTTTATCATAGATATTTCTTTTTTCTTCTCAACGTCTAAGTAGAAAAATCGATCGCACTAACTTGGGACATTCTTAAAATTTTTAAACATCTTTATTTTTTTTTCTCTCTATTTTAGCGATTACTTTGCTTAAATCAGAGTTCCTTTTTAGGATCTTGTTCTTCTCTAATTAATTCATTTTTTAATAATTATGTGTGCCCAGAACTCTTCATTCGGTTTATTAGCGTGGCTTTTAGTTAAGTAGAGCTACGAAATATTCTTCTGTTTTGAAGGTTTCATCTTCTTGTTGTTTGTGTCTTTTGTATGAAATTCGTACGTGTATATGTGTAAATTTATGTGTATATTGTATTTCTTCATGCGTCGTCTCGCGCGTTGAGACGCACATCGAGCTTTTGGGCGGTTTTCTTTAATTTATCTTGCGTCAAATTTTCGCTGCTTCGATTTAACTGAAAATTGAAAATGATGTAATTAAAAAATTATATTATTTGGAGAAAAAACGAACTTATAACCTATGTATAGAATTATTTTAAAGGGATTGCAAAAAATATAACTACTCGGCTATTATTTTTTGTAAACATTATAGAAATAAAAGTTTTTTAAATAAGAAAATAGTTAATATTTAATTTGATTTATTAGCGTATGCAGTGAAATTTTTCTGAAAAATCTATAACTGAATTCTTAACTTTATCTAAAAAACGTAATAATGAAGCTTTAGTGATATGTAAACATTACGTTTTTATTATATTAGATGATTTTCAATGAATATCAAAAGCAATTTGAATGATGTGAAAATGATGTGTTAAAAGCTCAGAATGAGATGAATGATATGACTATGAGTAACTAACAGTGATACAACATTCAATCGAAGGTAAAAGCTAAACATATTGCTAAAAGTAATGGAAAAAAATGTTTGTTACAAAATAATTCAAAGAAATTATTACCTTGGAAAAACAAAAAAAAAAAAAAAAATCAAATATAAAAAGCAACTTTTCTTTAAATTATTTTAATAAGCTGACATTGCTGGTGTTTCATACGGAAGAATGATTCATGTAATAATTTCTTGCCCAATGAGCGTTAAATAAGTTAACATGAAACATTTTTTTTTAATTTGCTCGACTCTATCAAAATCAATAGTTTTCAAATAACTGTATGAATCACCAGATAGGTGGATAATATTTTTAGTTACATTGCATTCACAATTGGAAGAACATTTTTGGTATTTAAATTAAAAAAATTAGCTAAAAAAATAAAAAATAACCACTAAATAAAACTGAATGAAGGGAACTACAGTAAATTTTATAAAAATATAATTTTACTTGAGTTGGAAAGTTCAAATTACTTATCTAAATTACAATAATTTTACACTGTTTTCTTCTTATATGAGCACCTTGAAGAAGTTGTTTTAATTTGTCATAAATATATTTTACGTAGTAGGATTTCGCATCAGATTTCATTGTTTAACAGACATGCGAATTGTCTACATATTGTAACATATTTTTTTAAACATTTAAAAACCATAATATCCCTCATGAGCGCAAAGAAAAAAAAAACAGAAAAAAAATAAAAAGAACGATCGCTCGTGCATATGATAAACAACGGATAAATATGCGACTGAAAACTCACCGCATTTGCAACAATGTTGTTCCAATTGTGTGATACTGTTATTATTTCGCTTTCTACTTTTTGGCTTTTCTAAAAATATGACAAATGCGAAAAAAACACATGACTCGATGAGCCCTATATATGATTGCTTGAATAAAACGATGATGAAAAGAGACACTGAAGTAACATTAATGAGATGTGATGAATAATGCGATTTGCGAGATGAGATGTTATATATGGATGTTGTCAATTACAATTATATCCTCCTTTTGCCTTATAATTCCTAAGCGTGAATTCATACACGAAGACATTGATATACACATTTTACTGTTATACTCTGTTATAGAAAAACTCGATACAAACAAAGGATATAGCTTTTTTTACGTATAATATGCAACCCTTAATATGTTAGCTCACTTAGTCTACTTTCATTATTATATAAAATCGAGCCAAATAACGATACTTTCACAAACAAGACAGGCACAATCTTGACACGTCTAAAAATTAAAAAAAATTCTGTACATAAGAATTCTTTCAAAAGGCTTCCTATTCACTATAATATGTATACAAAAATTTGCCCACAAAAAGAAGAAGAACAAGGTACAAATTTAAATGAAAACTGATTGATTAGTTGAATCCAACAATAACGGCACGCCTTCTTATTTTCCTAAAAGCGCGTGGAAAAATGGTGAGGGCGGCCCGCCACGTGACTCACTTTTTCTTAAGGGTGAAGAAGCTGCGTCTCTTGGTTTCAGCTTGTGTTGGCGCTGGCAGCGTGTGCGCTCGGGAGGTGCCTGCCGCCGAGGCACCCTGAGCTGCTTGATTCAATGACGCAACCCATTCGTTCATCTCGGCGTCGTCTTTCGCTTGGAATAGGAAGTCCGCTCCGCTTTGCGTTCTGATGCAGACGGAAAAAGGAGTAGATATTAAGTCGTCTCGGTTTTTAAGTATCGAGATATTATTCTTTTTTTAATATCCTGCCCTTAAACTATTGTTTTTTTTGCACAGCTCTTTGAATCACATAAGCCATAATATGCTATATATTTCATTTCTTTTGTTCTACTTATAATTTTTTAATTGGATTTTTCATAGTTTTAGGTATAAAAGACTGAAACGGTAGAGTAATTCGGTCGTTCTATGAATTTATATATGCTAATTATTTCGTGGTTTTGATTTGTTACCAGCAAAATCTAGCTAAAGTGTGTTAAGAATGTTTGAAATTTATTGGATGATTACCTAAAATAACTTTATAGCCGTTTGATGTAGAAAAGACCTTGATAGATAGTACGTTTCAGTAAAAATGACTGAAATGATTGAAGGCTTGCGTTGTGCTTTCACCAAAGGATAAATTGACAATGACATACTTACTTGACGCGGAAGACATGTTTCTTCTTAGTATAATCGCTGGCGATCGAAATGTTAGCGCCCTTGAGATCGAGCGGTGTCTCGCCCTTGTAAATCTGATCGGGTGCCGATTTGTACGACTTTTGGTCTTTGTAAGCAACGAGGGTTTGACCACGCACTACCATGTATATTTTGTCCCAAGATCGATTACTGGCCTTCTTGGTCGTACTCTCCCACTCGTGTTTACGCACCAGCACGCCTTCGAACTCGTCGTCGCTTGGGCTTCGAGCTTCTGAATTCGCGAGTAAAAAAAGGAAAGAGAAAATAGTGAGTTTTTATTGAGTTATCTGCAAGAGATAGTACAGCTATGTGTAAGCTATAATATTTATGCACTATGTATATGTGACTAGAGTTATTGTAAAATCAATTGATATGAGCATATATTTAATAACACTTAATATTATACACATATTTGATGAGATATTTTTTATGTCGGGGAGTGACTCTATATGGTATATACGTATAAATTATTAAGGCGATGGATCGTCTGAATTTTTAGCGATTTCATTATATAGTGTTATCACAATGCCTGAAAGGAAAAATTCATGATTTTGCGATTCGATTTATGAAGATGCTTTGACCCCAACTTTTTTTTTGTAAAAATTATGCAGCAATTATATTTGACAATTTTTTTCGAATACAACATTTTTTACGTACGTCAACAAAATTAAATAATTATCTAACTAGAAAGAACCGAATCTATAGACATTAAATTTATAGATAAATAAAAAAACATTACTGTATACTTATAGTGCTAACTATGCTTATAAAATGTAAAACAAGAATACTAAATTCATATCAAAAGTCGAAATGTATCGTATGCACAGATTTTAGATTTAATAGTGATACTCAAACTCATAATACTAAAAAAACGTGAGTAGACATTTTGCAAATAAGAATAACTACACAGAGAAATTACTTAAAATATAAACACTCATTATAAAATTGGCAATTTTAGATAAACAGTCAATTGAAGTACAAAAAAAAAACAAACAAATAAAATTGTTGACATATCTTCGCCTCGACTCTTCTGTAAAAAAAATAATTAATCTCCCAAGCTCTCGGTCGTCGCTATAATCTCCATCCTGAAACAAGAATAAAAAAAGATATCCTTTCCTATCACGAAAACTTACCATACTCGTCGTCACTGGCACCTTGGCTGCGATCAAGACTAGGCGACTTGGGCTGTTTCTTCCAACGAAAGCTTCTAAACGGTGACTTGCTACGACTGCGATCCTTGCGTCTCAATGTACCAGACTCCGAGCCACCTCTCGGTGCTTTGTATATTGATGTACACAACAACAAGGATTAGTCGCACTTCGATACTTACTTTGTGTTTCTCTTTTTCTCTCTCACGTTTTATCGAATTCTCGGATTGGAAATTGAAGAGTAATCTACTTATAGGTGAGCATGCAGATATTTGCTTTTATCTTGTTAGATAAACTTTGTATTCATGCTTCAAAGTTATTACTTGCTCTATGCGAATCTTACAAGAGGTGAAGGATAATACATGCACCGTTTAAATAAGATTACGTCTGCTACTATATACGGATGATCTCGTTTCTCTTACAAACGAATTATGCAGTGAAAGCATTACTTGTTCCTTTGAACCGGACGATAATTACAGGAAATCTCATTGAAGTCGAATTGTGTAAGCAATATACAAAGTTATTGCTGTGTGCGTATCGCCCATTACACGCGTATTACCGTCATCCGTTTACATGACTCGACATCATGTCGTTTCTCAATTGATAAACGTGATCATAAGAATGCTATTTGCTTTTTCTAAAAATAACTGCTGAGCCATAAAACTACAATTATCTTGCAAATCATTGACGATATGTTTGAAGATAAATTCTAATTAAATGCATGTTGAAATTTTATCGAACTACTTACTTGTGGGAGTGGAAGGTGAGGCTCGATGCTTCGATGGGGATGGTGATTGTGATATAGGTATGTCACCTGGGACTTGTTTCCTTGGACTCTTTTGGACATGCTCTACTTTATACCGAACGAGAATAACATGCATTATTAAGTTACTTATACGGTCAATTTCTTGCGTCTTTTTAATTCAATACACAAGAAATTTCTGATCAAATTATCCATTACAAACAATACAAAATTGCAATGACTACACACACAAATGGGAAGCATAGAGCGATTACACAAAATCTACATACATGCAAAGTATGAAAAAATTGAATGATACTTTTTTCAGTACCTACCACGTGTACGAAGTAACTATAAATATAGTTGTATGACTACGAAAGCTTTATGTTAGCGTATTATGGTAGTAGGGATTTTTAGTTAGAGAACCTGAAAAGACTTATTTTTTGTACGGTTAATGTATTAAAAAAGTGCTCATTTCTCATATTGCGCAGTGCTCGTCCTTCACCTAAATTTATGTAATATAAATTATTTAACAAAGTGTGTTATTTTATCTATTTAACAGACACCACCAGCCTGTCAAAAAAAATTATAAAAAAAATGTTGTTTGCAAGCTGAAAAAAAATAGAAAAAACAGATAACAATGGTCATATGTTCGCTTTTTGACGTTCCATCACCTGACTATAAATTAAAATCACCCAACATTTTTTGTGCATGTTTATAATGATACATAACCACATTATTGTATACAGTATTTGTGGAATAATTTTATTATGTATAATAAAGCTTATAAAGTGCCAGAACTAACGATGATAATGTAGCGTGAGGAATGATAAAAAACATGAATATATATGATATCGAAGAAAGGAATTCTAATTAAACAACGGCAACGGGCAGACACTCACCTTCCTTGGGCTTCTCTTGAGCCTTCGCCGTGGAAGCTTTACGTGGTGCCGCTGTGGTGTCGTGCATTCCGTGCCGCGTTAATTTTTATTTGGGGTGCGTTAAGATTTTTTTCGTTTGTTAATAGGATAAGGACGGGAAAATTATTAGGAAAATAGAGGCAGAAAAGAAACGTGCTGTTAGCAAAAAGGTCATGCTTCATGTACTTTATTCCTCTATCAAACTAGAAGGTTAGTCAAAGAGATAGGAAGATATAATTTTTTCCGATTTGATGGAGAGAAAATAGAGAATGTAAGAACCTTCTAATTTCATAGCATGACTTGACTTTACTTAAATATTTTTTCTTTTGAATTTTTAAATATTCAATATCTCTTAATTTAATTGCATAGATTTTAAATTTACGTGACGTAATAACAAATAGTGTTAAGCACTCGTCGAATGATTCGATTTTCTATGAATTTTTCATGAAAAGCTATCAAATTCTACTATTTGACTTCAACACTCAATGAAATTATAATGTGCCTTATTTTGTGAGAAGATTGATAAGTTATTGTACGGGCACAATTTTGAAAAATATAACAGAATAATTAATGATGATGGTAAATCTATTCGAAACTTACCATGATCGTCGTCTTTAGTTTGAACTCCGTCTGCTTCCACCCTGCAATAAAAGAAAGAGCATTCGTTTTTTCTCGTTCGTATTACTGGAAGTTAAGAATTTTGCTTATTAGTTTTATCTTGTGTAATTTACCTTTCGCTAGCTGCTTCACCTGTTGGGCTAGCGACTGGAGTTGCTTTGGCCAGTTTTGCGGCTTCCGCAGCGGCTGCTTCTTCTTTTTTGCGCCTTTCTTCTTCTTCTCTTTCTTGTTCTCGTCTTTTCATTTCTCGAAGTTCAAATGTGGTCAAACGTTTCAAAGCACTGAATCTTTCTTCTTGTGCAGCTGCCGATTTTTCAAATGCCTCGTGTTTCTTGATTAGATTTTCGACCTCATCGATTGTGTGCTAAAATTAAGAAAAACATTACATTATATACTTCATTCAATGAAACTTAGCAACATGCTACATCAATTCTTACTCCAAGTTCTTGACTCATAAGGTACGGTTCTTGAGCAATCAACCATGCTTCTGCGACGGCGGCATCGCGTGCAAACTGGTACACTTCCAAAACTGTAATGTAAACAAAACACTCGGTAACATCATACGGCTTTTTTCAATTAATTCTAGAAAAAAAAACTTACTAAGCTGCAAGTTTTCCCAGCGTTCTTCCCAGCGATGTAACAGTGCTTTCCTGTGCTCTGTGAGTGCTGTAAGTTTCTCCTTGATCTGCGAGCTAGCATAGTGATTTCTCGACAATAAATCTTTGCCCAAGTTGATACAACTTAGGAGATTATCTTCTCTCGCATCAATTTCAGCTTTCAAACTTTGATGATTGTTCATTAATAGCTCAACTCCACTGACGTCTCTTGGTTTTTCACTGGTATTCATTTGTCTGACAACATCGTCCATCCAAATCATCAGGTTTCTCACCATGTTAAAGAATTTGAATAAGTCTCCAGTATCCTCTGAGAATATTAAACAATTTTTATAAATATTCATCGATATAAATTACTATTAGACATTTTTAAAAATACCTTACCCAATTTAGTACGACGTCCTTCGCACAGAGACTGCAAATTATTCCAAGCAGCAACGACTTCAGCTTCGCGATTTGTGATTTCCCGTGCTTTATCGCCAGCATAGCTAGCCTGCAATTTAGCAGATTCTTCCTGAATCTGTAACACTTGGCTCTGTAGAGTTGATAAATCGGAGATGAAGTTGCCATGTTTTCGTTGAAGAGCGGAAACAGAACCGGCATCACGTCCAAGTTCATCAGACATGGCATTCTGTTTCCCGAGGATACGCCCAAGAACGTCCTTGCAATCGTGGAAGAATTTATGCAACTCACGGCTTGCAGCCAACATTTGTGTGCGTGTCTCGATGAGCTCCAACAAGTCTTGCCAAACTTCATTCAAACCATCTTTCCATTCGGCAATGGTGGCAGCGTCAGAGTGACCAGCAGCGATCAATGAATCGGCGATACCGTTGACAACGGATACACGTTCCGACCCAATCGCTTCAGTGTCTCGTGCGAATTCCTTGAAACGTTCCCATAAAAGGGTGACGTGGTCATAATCTTGACCCAACTCGTGACTGCCAGCGACCACTTCGCGTTCGGCGATCCATTGCTCCAAGTCGTCAACCTCGCGGTTCAACATGAACAGTTGAAGGGCTTCGTCAAGCTTGGCACGACGTTCACCAGCAAGATCTTTCAGACCGGCATACAATTTATCAACCTAAAAGAAAATATTCATTTGTATTCATAGAAAAAAATTGTATAAGATGATTGATTAATTTTCGATTTATAAACTCACCTGTGATTGTTTAACGGCAATTTGATCACCAAGAGGATGCTGATCACTGATAAGCTGCCTTGCAGTCTCTCCAAGCTGCCTAATAGTCTCAGCGTAATCTTCGACAGCATTCTCAAGACTTTCGTGTTTCTTCATGAGATTTTGTGCGGAAATTTCATCTTTACCACGGTCCTCCACCATCATGTAAAGTTCTTGTTCGCTCATCCAAGATTCAGCTTCAGTCGCGTCGAAGATGTATTGCTGTGCTTTCTCATTCTGTAACAGTTGGGAGTTTCTCTCGTCGATAGCGTCCTTCAATTCTTGCCATTTCTCGTTGAGTTCGGAAATCAATCTGCGGAATTCAGCACTGTCCTCGTGACCTTCATCAATTAATTTTTTGCCATTATTACAGACAAAATTGATACGTGGTTCGTGGTTGTCGATTTCCGTCCTGTAAATTTTAAGAATTTGATAATTTTTAGTGAACTAAAATAATCAATATTATTTCAGTTCCTACATACGAGTTAGACCTGGACAGAAAAAATACACTCTCAAAAATCATCATTTTGTTGTTAGTTTTTTTGGTACTGATCATTAAAGTTGCACCTTCATGCAATGTAGTATTGTAATCACAATTTATCAGATTTGTAAAAAATTTTACTTATTGTCGCTAAACAGATTGTGAATATAATTGAAAATAAAAAAAACTTAATAAAATAAACGCATAAGTCATGCTGTCACACATCTTACCTCAACGATTGATTCTTCTTCTTGAGAGCATGCACATTGAACAGTGAGTTACCGTGCTCCTTACTGGTAGCTTGTGGCATCTTCTCGGCAATCCACAATTTTTCGTCCTCGACATCTCGCCTGAACTGGAAAGCTTCCTTCTTCTTCTCCAATTGTTTTTGTCTCTCAACAAGCGGTTCCTTGAGCTGTGCAAAGCGTTGTGCAACTTTTTCCTTCTTGAACTTGATCTCTTCCATCTTCTCATCTGGGACTGTTTGTTGTAAGTGCTCGGCTTGTTTGTCGAGTGCTGTCACTTGTTGGGCCTTCACCGCCATCTGGGTCTCTATCATCTGTTGCTTCTGCATTAGGATATTCACCGAGGCCAAATCCGAACCTGTGTCCGTGCTCTCGATTTGTTTCTCTATAAGGCGATAAACGGTTATTGTATTATCCAGATGTCGATCGATTTTAAACAACACTATCATAGTTTTCTTGTACATATTTAACTATTTCTTTTTTAATATTTTAATCTTTAATATTTATCAACGTTGGCTTTTTTCAAAATACTATTTTGTTTTGACGCTAACCGTCATAATTAGTACACTCGCACTACTAATCGCACTGTTTTTTATTTAGCGCAGTATAAAAACGTTATATAATTAAATAACCTAAATTAAGCATTGAATTAAAAAGCACATTGATGGCACAGAAACAAAGTCAGTATTCTATTGTTGGCAAATGGCTTCTATACTGTTCTGATTATGATCTATATTTATCTATATTTATTGCTATGTATCAGTAAGTCGGTAATTATTGAAAAAAACGCAGTCTTTTTTAAATATTAATAAATGAAGAAAATATCAAATACGTACAAGCAATATAACTACGAATATACTTTTCCAACTTACCAAGTTCGTTCATCCAGGAATCTATATCATCGCAAGTCTGGTGAATAAGAACCTCTCGATTAGCATCAAATAGCCTTTCTCCTTTCTCGTGAGTAGTTTTCTCAAGTTCCTCAAACTGATCGGCTAACTCCTGAACTTTGGGCTGGATAATTTCAGCAAGTTCAGGCTTTTGTTGAATAAGTTTTTCAGCGTCAGATTTAAGCTGCTCTAAACGATCTTTATTACTGGCAATTTCAGCCTCGAAAGCCTGATGCCTAGTCCACTTGCTGTGCACGGTCTTGGCACTTCGGTATGTCTCATCCTGGGCTGTAATATGTTTTTCCTGTATCCATTCACCCAATTCCTCGACATCTTGCAAGAAAAGTTGGAGTTGTTGCTGATCGCGTAATTTATCCATAATCTGTTGAGCTTTGTCACGGTTGTTGTTGCGACGTTCACCAATGGATTCAGCTTTACGTTTGACCTTATCGGAAGCAACATGTCCATCATCGACGAGTCTTGCAGCGAATTGAGCAACAGAGTTAATCTTTTCGTCATTGGCATCCATAGTAGTCATGAATGCCTCGTGACGTTTGATCATATTTTCCGCTTGTTCAAAGTTGGTCGGAGTTTCGTCCTTTGCCAAGAAGTGTTCTTGTTGAGAGAGCAAAACTTCGGCTTGACGAGCATCACGTTCGAACACCTGATAGTTAAGAGCGTTTGAAAGTAAATTCTGACGGTTAGCCCACATCTGATGTAGCTCTTCCCAGCCCATCTTTAGAGCGTTAAGACGTTCACGCAAGAACATGTACTGAGTATCGCCTTCGCTTGCCTCACTCGTCAATTTCTCACCATACTCCATCATCTTTTGATAGTCATCGGTGTAGTTATCAATCTCTTCCTTGATGTTCTGATGCTGAGCGAGTAACTTCTCTGCATCGGCCAAACTAACAGGTTCATCTTCGCTAGCAACGTCGGTCTGAGTCTTTGTAAGCCAAGCCTGGAAGTGATCGAGATCACGAAGGAATCTGTGCAGATCACCAGCTTCCTCAAGTTTCGCGTCTCTCTCTTTAAGCATCTGCGTAAGATGTTCCCAAATCGTGTGAATCTGAGTAATCCTCTCTCTGATAACAGCTGCCTCTTCTGGATGATCTTTCTCAATGACTTGTGCTTCCTTCTCGAGAGCATCCAATTTCGCTTGAATAGCAGCCAAGTCACGTTCCATACCACTGAGACGACGCTGTAGGGTCATGACACCCGTGAGGTCCATCTCGAGGGAATCGGTTTCTTGAAGGATACGTTTTTTATCTTCTATCCACGAGACTGTTTCGCGGCACTCAATATGGAAGGTTTGAACGCCATGAGCTGAGTTGAGAGCCTCGCGTTTGGATTCTGCTTTATCGCGTAACTCTGCCCATTTCTGATTAAGCTCGTTTTGGCGTTGATTAATCTGTGGCGAGTTAGGATGCTCTACGTGCAATAGTTGTCTCGCTATAAATAAAAAGCATTGCAATTTAGTAAAGCTATCAAAGTATTGTAAAAATAAAGGTAAATCTTTTTACCTAATTGGTTGACAACTGCAACACGCGATGCATTAGCATTCATCTCCTTCTCGAATCCATCATAACGATGCTTCATGATCTCAACATCTTCAATGTCTTTGGCAGGTACCATAGTATCGAGCATCCTGTTCTTCTCGCCGATCCATTGTTCCACACCATCGCTCTCACTGAGAAGCTTATAGAGCGAAAGAGCATCAAGCAGCCTCTGCTTCCTGTTCTTAGCGAGTTCTTGAAGCTCTTTGTAGTTCGCATCGATTTTGGCAAGTCGATCGATAACTTCGGGTGACTTGGCATCCTGTTCGCCGAGTTGAGAAGCTTGTTGATGCAGTTGTTCTATAGTCTGGGCATAATTCTTTAGTTCGTCAGACACATCTTTGTGTTTCTTCAGTAGTGACTGCACATTAGCTTCATCTCTACCAACATCTTCAGACGACACGAGTTTTCGAGTATCGAGCATCCAGGCATCGATATCATCAGCATCGGCAAACAATTGATGATAATCAACAGCTTCCTCGAGTCTCTTCTTTCTGAAAGAAGTGAGATCCAACAAGTGATTCCACATCTTCAGAATTTCCTGAAGACGTTCTTGGATTTTATCAGATCCAAAGTGTTTTTCGCGAACAAGCTCGTCGCCAACAGCCACCACAGACATAAGTTGCGGCTCGTGCGAGTTGATCTCTCCTTCAGTAGCCTTGTGTTTGGACAATAAAAGATTGATGGTAGTCAAGTCATGACCGATATCACCTGTGGAAACAATCTGTTCCTTCTCTTTGATCCAATTCTCCTCGTCAGCCATGTCCCAGTAGAATTGCCACAGCTTCCTCGACTCTTCAAGACGAGCTCGTCTCTCCACAGCAAGACGAACAAGTTCGGAGTAAGCATCCTCCAATTGTTGCACGCGCTCAACGATGATCGATGGGTCGCATGGTCTGTAACCTTCATCTTGTTCAAGAAAGCGTTGACTTTGCTGCACGACAGCCTTGACTCTTTCGCCAAGAACGTTGATATCTGCCTCGACAAGTGAATGCTTCTGTAGCAGATCTTCAACACCCATAAGATGTTTGCCGTAGTCATCTGTTAACAGACGCAGCTTTATCTCTTCCATGCTGTCGAGAATGTACAGCATCTCTTGGAAGTTCTGCTGTAATTGCAATGACAGCTCAAGACGAGATCTTCGAGCACGGAGTAACTCCAACAGGTAGTTCCACAAACGTAAAACATTATCCTTGCGTGCGTTGATGCGTTCAATGTCGTGGTACTTCTCAGCTTCGAGTTCTCGTGATACGGCTACTACTGCCTGTACGCGCTCTTCGTAAGCAAATATATCGGTTTCAATGGCTTCGTGCTTCTTGGCTGCTGCTTCCACTGCTGCCAAATCGAATCCAAAATTGTCCTGAAAGTAACGAAGTGATTTAAAAAAATTTATTTAGCAAATAGATATTTGAACGTACTTGAGACACCAGTCGTTGATTCTCAGACAGCCAAGTCTCCCTCATGCAAGCTTTTCTGTTAAACCTAGCAGCCAGTTGATCAAGTTTCTCCTGTCTAATCAATTCTTCTCTAAGAGCCAATTCTCTCTCATGTTCAGCTTTTTCAAGCCTTTCCCAAGCTTTGTTGATGTCAGAAATCATTTTGCCTTCCTTGGGCGTGTATGGTTTCTGGTTGTTGGCTCTCATTTTCGATTGCAGAGTGAACAGAAGAACTTCGAGATTACCTTTCTCGACGAATTTCGGTGGTTTTTCGACAGTTCGGTAGTTGGAGAATTGAGACAATTGGGCTTGGACACCCATCAAGGAGTTGGCAAATTGACGGTCACCAAGAGCTGTGATGGTCGACTCGATCCATTTGAGCAATTCGCTTGTCAAACTCTCGTACTCGCGGATCATACGTTCGTTTTCCATTGCGATGCCAACGACTTTGCCGATTCTCTTTCCTGAAATAAATAATTTTATCATTGAAACATGAACTTTGTGCGGAAAAATTTATTTTAAGTGAAATTAAAAGCATTTGTCATACGAGCAATTTGAAATTAATAAATATCGAAACAACAAAACTAAATTGATAAATTCTGTACATAGTTATTCGAGTTCGAAACATTCGAAACATTACTTTCGCGTTGGCACCGATTCTCCCAATCGAAAAATCTGCAGAAACTAACCTTGCACAGTCTCTTGCTTCATCTTGGAAAAGTAGTGATAATAAGTAACAACATAAGTGATAATGGACTTCTCGTCAGGATGGTCGACGAATATATCCTCAGCATCCAATAACTTTGTAAGACCAAGTTTGTCCTCGGCGACATTGAAGGCGTTGTTCAGGTTATAAATAGCATTAGACCGCGACAGTCTATCGAACTGAATGAGATCTGGTCTGTGTTTGTGAATAATAGCATTAAATGCCAGCCCATCGCGCCACGATGTCGTGAAATTCCTCACGTTCACGTTATGATAGCCAGCAGTCTTCATCTGGCACCACAATAATAACGCATCCTTAGCACTCTTCGTCTCCTGATTATCCGTCTCTTCGATGGTAATATCTTGAATTTGAAAACGTAGGATTATCGTCCAAATGAGACCAAGCGTCAACCTTGCATTGCCATCGACGATGTCGTGCGAACCCATGTTCTCCAAATGAACGCGTTGCTCGCGCAAGAATTGCAATGCTTTGTCCACGTTCTCCAAACAGTGAATGCGCATTTTGCCTTTTGTTGGACGTGGTAAGCGCTCGCCTGACAAGATTTCCAAAAGTTTGATTAGCATCTTGCCGTCGCGAAGGTCGACGTACAGGTCGCCGATGCGCGCTGAACAACGCACCAAATGAGAGTTCACCCATTTTTGGAAGGTTTTCTTTTGGACTAACTCACGCTCACCTGTAAATGAAAAATATGCTTAGTGGCGCGTGAATGGATGAACGCTTGGACACTTTGCCAGTGTTACTTCCGCGATACGTGACAGGATACGTTATGTAGCTTGAGGCAGTATAACGGTCATTCACGGAAGTTACGGTGCCTTATTATTACTTTGAAGGTTGTATCAAAATATTTCTCTAATTAATTGCTATTAGATCTAATTCAAAAGAAAAGTTTTCTTTTATATTTCGCAAATGAACTCTAGATAACTCTCTTACCGGCAAGTGCCTTGATGCGCGATCGTTCGAAAAGTCTGGAACTAGAATTGCCACCATCGTACTCGTACTCGTCGACAATCTCCTGCTGGAGAGTCGGATCCCAGCCGGTACGCTGCACCGAGATATCGGTTGTCATTTTTTTGCTTTCGTCGCGCCGTTCCTCGGCTTAACAAATCCTCCCTTGGTTAATGCACCTCTGAGCTTTTTTTACGGGCGCTCCTGCAAACATATAACAAGGCAAATGACACTCACAATTAAATTCCCTTTTTACGATGTGACAATGTCGTGTCGTTATTGGCTAGCGACACTCCCATCTTTGCTCATCAATGGCAATAATGACATTTAAATGACGATGTCGAATGAAAGGAAACTTTAATTTTAACGCGAGATCGAGTATTTCAAAGTTCGTTATCTTCAATTTAATTTTTCATTCGTGCATAGTTTCCAGTTTCCCTCCCGCGGTACGTAGCGTGACTCATCGTGACGAACATCTCATGCGCAAAAATTATGCGCACTCGAGACATAAATCAATTACACAATCGTGCACACCTACTTTCAAATTCGGAATGTACATCATTCAAAATCTAGTTCAGCAATAAAAAGCGAAGCCCAAACGATAATCGTGCACTGTACGGTTACACGACGTACGAGAAAGAGGAGTATGTAGAGAAGCGTTACGTCACATCGTGCCGTGGTGATGTCACACGCGTTAAATAAACACGCATAGCATGTGTGTCATTGTATCTATTTTTTTATTTTTTACTTTTCGAGATCGAACTAAATTGAACCGCATGAAGACCGAATGTATCTGCGTATTTTTTCCTTCTGTGTGATGAGTATTGGCTACATTATTTTTTTAGTCGCGTTGATTACGATTAGATCATCATCGTTGCTTTTTTCGAAAGCACGTAGATTTTTTCCCGTTTTCGATTGCAGACGCAACAAAGGGGAGTATGTCTAAAAAGTGACGGTTAAAAAACACGTTACACGCGCGGCGTGAAGCGTTTGCAACACGCAGACACAGACAGACACACTCGTGGTCTTGTGTCTCCAAGGAAAACCAGCGACCGAGCATTTCACTCTATTTACAATAAAGGAGAGAAACGCGGTAGCTTGCCAGCAGCATTCCTTCGCAACGGACTCGCATGCCGTCTTTAGACACAAGCGCAAGCTTTTTTTGAATCGATGTTTGAAAGAAGGTTTTTGAAAGGGTGAGATTTTTGATTGTACCTATCTTTTTTGAGAAGCAATGGTTGAAATATAAATGTAAAATTTTGAGAATTGAAAGAATGTTTGAGCTTTTTTTTTAGTAACAAATTTGTACGATGAATAACTCCAACGAATTTTTTTTTTCAACCAGAACAATTCAATCATTTGCAAAACGAATCGTAGTATCTATATCACGTGGGCAATAACAATGAGTAAGAAGATAAAGTATCAGCTTTGCAATTTTCAATAAAACCTTTTCGTTGTCAACGGAGCGGCACGAAAAGAAAGACAGGACGAAGCATTTCGACACGTCATCATCATAGAGCTCGGCGTGTACGGTTGCGGGATATTATAGCGTATATGCGCGCGAGGTCAATCATCTTGTCAGTGAGCGAGTACAATTGACGAGACTAGACGCCCAGTTATGCCATGGCGCGTTTTCCTTTTTGCCAAACGGCTGCTTGAACTTCAACGGTGCTAAGTGGCCGTGTAAATAGATGACGGACTTTTCATTGCTAATGAGTGAGAGGAAATTAGGTTAGCGCTGAACTTCGAACGCTTGGCTGTAATCGAGTTTTAATGCTGAGCTTGCCGTTGATTGGATTGGAATGATTGCATTAGCTGTAACAACAATTATAAAGAATAGAAACTGTACAAACTTTGCGATCGAAAACCATTTTTTTTGCTATAAAATAATTCTCAAATGTCCTGCATTTTAAATGAAATTCAAACTTTTCTTAGAAATATCAATTTTATGAAATTTTCACGTTTGAGAATCTTGTCTTAGCTACAAATACAGAACAAAAACTATGAAATCGCAAGCTTCATAGCTCTGTCTAAACAAACAAATGCCAAATAATAAATTTCTAACGTGTGCCATCTGTGAACAAGCAAAGAAGACCCGACACAAATATTGAGATAATGGCGGTACGATAGGCGCGGCTTCTTTGCCCATAAAAAACAAACTCTAAATGTCAATGACGCTTTCATTGATTTAACAGGCTGATAATGCCCAACGCGGCGATATGATTAACTTCTTGCCCTATGTACTCGCTCAGTCGTTGAAATTTTATTCACTAGTTTTTCTACATAAATAACGTGATTTATTTTCGACGATGTGAGCTTGTACCACATGAAAATTTATAAGTTTTGAAATCATACCTGAAGATCCTTAATTGAGTTACATTTCATTTGATTTTGTTAAAGATCATGCTCAGTGGGAGAATTTAACTTATGGTTAGATAAATCATTTATGAAATCCTGTAATATATCGCGAGAAGCTCTAAATGTATGGAAAAAAAACTGTTAAGCAGCGAGTGTTATTTTTAATTCACGGTGTTAAAGCAAAAGGTCAGAGCTTGGCACAGCTCATTGGATGGGTAGCAATGAAGCAGTTCCAGTAGCAAATGCGTAGAACGCGATCCGTTCAACTACTCCAACCTCTGGTTGTCATGAGTATAGATACAGCACAAATATGCAACGAGCAAGGCACTTCGTTCGCGCAGCAAATCGACTGTTAACCAAAAAAACAGGAAACTAGTCGTTTGTGCATTCGCAAAAAAGAATATCCAGGGGTAGAAACGAAAATCGCAAACCCTATCTAGCAACAACTTGGGGGAGGTCGCCTTAACAAATTAAGAGTAATCTACTCGACGCAAAAAGTGTGGTCATGTAGGTAATAATATAAACTTTTCGCGTGCGGTATGATATTAGATAAGCGAACCGCAAGCTAGCCAACGACGTTGTAACACGAATGTAAAAATTCTTTTGAATTTTCTTGAGAAATAACTACTTTGCTTGCGTGTACTAAAAAAATTGACACGCGATGACGAAGATACATCGCATTTGTCGCGAAGGAAGAAATCACCGACTAAAATTAGCTCCAACAGTTCGCTTCAAAGTCGTAATGAAAAACACCTAGCTGTATAATCTACAATTTTAAATACAAGTTCAAGCTGATTAGTCCTTGTGCTGAATTTTTGAAAACAATGTGTGTACACATCCAAACCAGATCCAATTGAAAGACCTCACCCCAACAAAACTCACGCCTGCATTCTAAAAATACATTCCTTTTTTCTCTCCAGAAAGCCGTGCGCTCGTCTTTCAACGTTTCTCAGCGACCTTGCCACAGCAGCTTGCGCTTCTCTCGCTCAATTATTGACGAGCGAATCGATGCGTCGCGTATGTAGAGACGTCGCCGTCGAAGGAGAAAGTGTGTACACAAGACGTTGCCTGCGGCTCGTCGGACGACGCGACCGACCAAGAGTTTTCCGCTCGGTGATTGATATCTGAAAGTGGACTTGACATTTTTCCGACGTTCGCTCGATGCCGCGGATTCACGCCGGGGAAGTTGAAATCGGGATGCTGCTTGAAAATGAACGGACAGTTTATTGGAAAGCCGACTCGGGGCTGCGCGATCTCGAACGCAGCGGAGCATTTGCTCCATTAACACAGCGACGGGATTGTCCTCCTCTTCTTCCGCAGTGTGCCATATTCAATACATAGTCTCTCGGTCAACCGCGTCGCTCTCGTCAATAATTGGGTCACATAATTAGCTAAACCTAGCCTACTTATGCGTGTCGTTGTACAAAGCTCGTGCCACGTGAACACGGACTACGTCTAATATTGAATTGAACCCTGGAAAGCGTATAAGGTAACTCAGTCGACCATTTTTTTTCATCTGCATATCTAGCAATGAAAACAAGCATCCGCCACATCATCATGCCGATCTCGCTATACGAGGTACACGGTTTTCTATCCAATACAAAAGGGACATCTCTCTCTCTCTCTCTCTTTCTCTCTCTCCTCGAATGGTGACAGTAAAGCACTTGCGCATAGCAGACAGCCCCAGAGCAGTCGTCGCCAGCCGCCGGCCGGTGTCTATTGATTTTCCCCGGCCACCAGTCGCTGCGGCGCCAAACGCACTGCGCACGCGCTTCGCGCACACAGTCACCGTCGTAACCAAGTTACCTTAAAAGAGTCAGATGATTTCCGGGCAAGGCTCGCGAGCTTGCAGGTGATCCGCGATTTGTTGGAGCTTCCGGTATATGACTGTTGAATTTTTTTAGGGAACGAAGGCGCGTTAAATGTCAATTATTCGAGGTACAAATGTTCTCTCTTTTCTTTACCCAATCCGGCGCAATCACCAAACTAGTAAAATAGCAGATTTTCCGAAATAACTGTACCATAGAAGGTAAAAGACAAGGGAAAATTTCAATCAACGGCCTCGCCTCCTTCTCCCGCTATCGAATTTTCCTGTGGATAGGCCAGGGACTCACGCTGACGCAGCGCTTGTACATACAGGGAAAAAATGTAGGTTGCGCCGCAGCACCACCCTCGCGTTGCAGTATGAAAACGTAAAAAAGTGAGAGCGTAGGATCGAAAAGGCAACGACAAGACGAGTGTTATCGGTTATCGGGTGCACGACGAGGAGAGAATAAAATGCAACCACTGTGCGATGTGGTGTGTCTGAGTAAGCGTCTGGTTTGGAGGTTTTCGAGTGCCTATTGTCACGAGAGAGGGAAAGGGAGAGAGAGAATTGAAAGAGGAAGGGACGATTGTGGCAAGGTGCTTCCAGTACAGGGTTGAGGGTTTTGTCTTCAACGCATTAAAGATATTAAAATAACAGAAAGAGTTGTCTTCGCCGAGCACAGAAACGAATATGCGAATATGCGAATATGCGAATATGCGAATATGCGCAGACAGAAAACAATATAAATTTTGTGCTTGGGCAAGTGCAAAATCAATTCGACCTAACCGAAATTTATTTACGTTTTTTTTTAAGTTCCATTCGCACTTTTTTTCGAGAAGTCCGTGGAATGAGGAAAGCACAGGACCAGACCAAAAAATAAATCTTCATCCCGACGAAATCGAAAGTAATGTTGCTAATGATAAAAAAAAATAAGCAGTGAATCGATATCTCAAACCAAATGCAGATGAAAGAAGCGAAAGTTCAACGTACAAGCAACAAACGTAAACCCCCGCGAGCATATTACTCGACCGACATTCGG